GGGGTGGGGGGGGGGTCTTCGACCTGAAAAATCAGGGGTTAGGATTTGCACCCGGTCGAAAGAAACCTTGCTATCGCAAGAGTAACTCCAGCTAGCTTCGCTAGCTTTCGTGACAAGTCTTGGAATGTGCTTGCATGGAGTGCATTTTGAAGCACAAAACTGCTGACTGCTGTCTGGTCCTCCTTGATGGTCTTCATCAGGCTAGTGGGAAAGCGGCAACACACCTGCAAGCCGGAGATCTGATTGCTTGAAAGGATGCTGTATAGAATGAATACTGTGGGGATTTGAATGTTCATTTCTGGAGTGGTCAGAGAACACCAAAGGAACACGATCTGCTCCACACCTGTGCAAGAAGCGCCACACATTCACCCCTTCAGCTTCTTGAACGCCGTCACCGTGCCGTACCGAGCGCCCCGCCCCGCTCACCTGGATGGTCTCGGTCGGCCTCACACGAAAGGGCGCCCGAGCGCCCAGCAGCAGCACGGGACTCTCGTCCGAGCGATAGGACACGACCTCGGTCGGTCCGAGCGAAACCGGTCGGAGCCGCGCGGGAGGGCAGAGAGGCGGGGCACCAGTGCGGAGCCGGGTTCGGAGCCGGTGGGGAACGCGTCCGGCCTTGGGACAGGTGAGGAACCGGAGCTTTTGGAGTGACACGTTTACGATTTCTGGAGCGTGAGCGTCCATCAAGTTCGGAGTGGGAGGCCAAAGAGGTTTCAAGATGTTTCAAGAAGAAATAGAGGGATATGATCTCAGACGAGGTGTTTCAAAAAATGTGTATATATACATATATATATACAGGACCTTCTGACTGGAAGGTCTGAGATATGAAACGGCGAGCTGGAAAAAAGCACCAGAAACACCACTGGGAGTAGGGCATCAGACCGACCAGAGATAGTCCAAATACATTCCTCTTAAACTATAGAGGTGATGAAGAATGGCACGAACCATCTCATGAATCCTCCAATGTTCTCCAAGAACCATCCAAATTGACCAGCTCAGCTCAGTGGCCCCCGAGCAAAACACTCTAAGAATCCAGCCTCGCTCACCTGGCGCTCACCCCAGCCCCCCACCCAACCGTGCCTCGCCCACTGTATCGCTCTCGTGCGTCTCGTGCGCGACCGTTCGGGGCGTTCTCGAGGTATCCACGATGAGTGCATCCAGCTCAGGGTAGCGCTTCTGGTGCACCAGGAAGGGTAAACCATCGAAGACAATCAGCTTGTGGCTGTCCACACCTGCCCGTTTTCTGTATCTATCTACAGTGAGGTCGTAAGATGGCAGATTTCAACAAACGTGAATCAATCTCAGAGTGCTCCAGGGTGTTTGGGCCATCCAGTCATCCAAGTCTTAAATCTGTTAAAATCTTGTTTATAGTCTTTCAGTCTTTGAGAGTGTGGCTCAACAGCTGTCCTCAGTCTGCTCGGAAATAGAACAAGACCATAATCCGGTGCGCTCAAGGAATGCGAAGCGTCATCAACGTCGGATGTCAGGTCCTTTTAGGTTATTCTCATGCAACCACCCACAAATCAGGTGTCTTTTTTAATTAGGCATCAACGTCGCACATGATCTGCCTCCAGATGCGAGAAAGCAACATGTCCAGCAGACCATGTTCCATTTGAAGATGCAAACTCGCAGTTATTTTTTTTAATATTCATGAATAGTCGACTCCTTATATGCCAAACATCGCGTTGTTGAAAAGAACGTATATTCAGATATATATTCAGATATAGGTCGACGACTATAAGTTCTGTGGGTCATCTGGTGGTAGGTCATGCTCGTCATCAGACCACAGTGACCAGAGATTCTGATGTCCGCTACACCGACGTCAGTTCCGCTATCGACCGATCCACCTGCCTATCACTGACTCATCTGTTTCAGCATACCTCGTCTTCGGATGACGTTCGTGTCCGGCACGCTTTTTTTTTTGTCCGGCACAAGAACGTCCAGCACATAAGGTCATAACATAGGTAGCCATGAAGACCATTTAAGAATATTTAAGACCTGACCATGAAGCAAATCCTGAAGCACCTTCACTCCTTGGGCCTTTTTCACTCCTGGGGTGTCGCAGCTGTTTGGTTGAAGAACGGAATCGCAGCTGTTTGCAACTTGAAAAGAAACGCTTCCTTTTTTTGCCACCAGCAGCCACCAGCAAATTCTTGCACTGTCTCATGTCACTACAAATCCAGTTGCAATCAAGGAAAGTCATGTCAAGGACTCAACAAAATCATCCAACGACACAGCGGCTTGGTCCTGAGCAACCTGAAGCTCAAGACGCGCAATGTGGCGCTCCAAAATGCTCCAAATCAACAACCCTCAATCCCTGAAACAATCATGGAAGTGGAACATGGCGACTGGGAAGGCGACTTTCTTTTACAAGCAGGGAGTTGTCCACTTCCATGTTTGTTGGAGGGAGGGTAATCTCTCAGCCATTTTGAAAAAAAATACTTTACAAATAGTGGTTGCTGTATGTTGTTTTGGGCAACTGTGACCGTGCTCATGGAGTCTCTGTTGAGTTCTTGTATCCATGTATGTATAGAGTACGTATGTTTTTTGTATATAGAAATAATCTATATTGATACTAATACTAATATATTTATAGGTACAGTCAGTATATATCCCTCGGGCCCAAATACATTGACATCATGGCTGCCAACCTTCGACTTTCGGGCCCAAACGAACTGCTTCTCTTCCGGTGGATGGACGGCTTGTGCAAGCATAAGCCGGTCCGTGGAGTCCCTGTCAAAACCAGCAGACTTGACTAACTCGTCTTGATCCCATTCGAATGATCTACAGTGACCACATGACATGTGACCACTGTAGAAATGGTGTGGCGCAAGCGCCCCGAGAAAAAATAGGTGATGTTGTATTATTAGGAACCTTTGAGTTGTTTGATCCCACTGGGAACACTGGGGAACCCTGGCAATCACTGGCGACTCCTCTTTGCAGGTCTAGAGACATCTTGAGGGAAAACTGAGGTGTTCGACCGTGCAACTCGACCCCTCCCCACCCCTGCCTCCAGCTTTCATGCTTGTTATCAGCCCAAGTCACTCTGCCAAAACCTCCAAAGTATCACGTGCCACACTCGCCCGCGCCAGCCGCTGCGTGGGCCGCGGCCACTGCGATGGGCGGCCGTTTTTGTGTGCGCCGCTTCGCTGTGCGGGCGGAGCGACTTGGGCGCAGAGCTGAGCGAAGCAGGGCAAAGCCAGGCGCAAAGCACCTCGAGACAGGAAGGCCTCCAACCTAATGGCGATGGCCTTCACTCTATCATCCTTTCTATTTCCAATCTCGATCAACCATTGGAAAAGGGATGAATTCGAGTGGCGGCCTGTATAGGCCCAGAATTCATCGCATTCGCCGTGGTTGTACAATTTGCATGGTCATTTCACTGGGGAAAAACCAGAAGCTTACTCGGGGTGATCAAGTCATCCCTTCTAGCGCATGTCATAGAAATGGGCACCTTGTGTTCATCATGGAAGGATTGGTGTGGCAGGTTGGAAGATGCTGGAAGACAACTGTCCGAAGAACAAACAGGCACTTGTCCACTTCCTTGTTTGTTGGATGACATGATATGACATGTAGACCAGGAAAAACTGCTGCTGAATGGCAAGGCTCCACCCGGCAGGGTTGGAAAAGGCTGGATTCTGCAACAGTTCGTGCTGCCACTCTCACCAACAAGAATAGAGGATGTTTCGACAGAAACACAGGAAGTCACCCAATGCCAAACTTTTGTTGCCGCATTTTGATGCTCAAATTGTTGGGTGTACAATAACAAACGACAGAAGAGCTGCTGCAGGGTACACGGACTCCGCTGCGTGCCGCTTTTGTGATGGTGCTAAGGAATCCCTCGTGCACATCGTGAATGAATGTGCTCACGCTCCAAGCTACATTAAGGAACTTCCCAAGCATGATCCGGGCCCCAACTTTCCAGGCCTGGGTATAGTTGAGCATCCAGCTGCGGTGGTCAACCATCGCTTACGTTTGTCTTCCAAGCCCAGCTTGTCCGGTGCTGACTTTGATGGTGTTTGCCTCCAATTACATGGTGGACAGACGGTTCAGCTGTCTTCCATCCAGGAGTCATTTTGGCTAACAACTGCAGCTTTTGCTATCTTTAACCAAGAAGAGCAATGTGTGGCAGCGGGTCCGGTATGTCACCCGGCACTCTCTGCATATGCTGCTGAATTGATTGCATTTATGACTGCGCTGACCATTGCACCGAGACGCCTTCAGGTTGTGACGGATTGCAAAACAATTGTCAATATTATGTTTGCGGAGCTAATGTCCACAAGAATTGTTCCCATGCATTGGAGCCATAGGCAGTGGTGGCTTTGCATTTTGGAGGCAGTACAATCTCACACCCGTGTTTGTGAAAATCCGTTCCAGGTTCTTTGGATGCCGGCGCATTTGAGTGATCACGTTCCATGGCCTGAGTTGACACCAGCTGCTGCATCTCACATTGGATGGCCTTGCCAATACTTACGCTGCGACAGACTCGCTGATGAAAAGGCCAAGCACATTGCCAACCAAAACGCCCCTGTTCATCCCCAAGTTTGGTCCCAAGCGCAGCAGGCGGCACTAGTGAGGCAAACTGCACTTGTTGAGATCAACAGGTTGATTGGCTTTGACGGTGTCGTAAAGCAGTGTTTTGGCACTAAAGAAGATGCTGAACCCTGTCCCGGTTGACGACGTATTTTCGCTTTCCGGATTGGAACTGGGAACCTGCCTTGACCCAATTCAATTGGAAACCGTGTATGCACACGAAGCTTCGTTGACTGCCCCTGCGAAAGTTTGTACAGGTGAGGACGGCCGCATTTTCTGTGACTTCCTTCTATCACTGCAATGGCATATTCACCGAGAGGTTTCCATTGCCTATGTTGAATTGTGCCATCTGTTTGCGTATCGGAAATACACTCTTTCTTGCGTTGAACCCAAAACCACTTTTGGCCAACTTGTACGTGTGCTGAAGCGATGGTGCGACATCATTTTCTCTGTTGATTCGCAAACACTATTGCCGGGTGTCCACAGCAGAGACGACAGCCACCCGTGCGGGTGGGCACTACCGAGAGGGGTGATTTGGGGCGCTCGCCCTTTCTTTTCCAAAGAAGAGCTGCGAGCTTTCGCCTTGAAGTTGTTGGACGGGGGTGCGCGAACCCTCAAATCGTGGGATTTTTATCTGGATTGCTACTGTGGAAATTAGGTGCATTATGTTCTTTGTGACATAGGAGACTTTTCCTCACTATATATCCGTCCTGAGTGTCGATAGTGATGCCGTTTCGAGATATGGCTGGAGAGGTGTATAGAGGGCAAAACGGAGGGGTCCCTGTGCATGTGGTCAGTCGACAGGTTGGGACAGGTGGAAAGGTCAGGACGAAGCTCCTAAGGTTAGTGATGCCGCGAGTGTCACTGCGTTCGACTGAAGACATGCCTTATCAACACTATATGTGGCGCAGCATCCGCAGCACCAACAAACATCCGTCTACTTCGCTCCATTTTGGTTCCAAACAGTCCCATTTTGGCTCCCGTTTCTCTCCGTCTTCTCCCTTTTCTCTCCCAAACCCCATCGTCACGGCTGCCAAACCTGTCGACAAGTGGCGGGTGGCTCGCGAGGCGGAGGGATGCCCGTCTAAGGCCGACAGCAACAAGACGTCCAAGGCCTTCTGGCTGACCTGGGACCCGCCAGGTGAGGCTCGTTCCGCCGCTTTTACTGTCATCATCGGTGCGTAGGGAGAATAACTAGGACAACGACGTGTTCTTCCCCAGAGACAACATCACCAAGCGACTTACCACGAGGTATTCCAACGATTTGCTTGTACATTGAGGTAGTGGAACCTTCAAGAAGGGGAAGCGCCACCAGAGACCGAACGAAGCCCCTTGGCCGTGAGGCTTCAAACGACGTGGTTCTGGAACAGGTTTGGGTTCAAACACGGGACCAAGCCTCGACCTCCCAGTGATGACTCACTTCAGTGATGACCAGCTGTTTGGATGGAATCGCCTTGCCACCATCTTAGAGCTGGTGAACTGTTCCAGAAAATCCACCAACCCAAAGCAGGATTTGACACCAACCAAACCAAGTCAAACCAATTGTGGAGCCAGGTCTCCACCCGTTGATCACGGCGTTTGCTGGGCGTCAGTGCAACATCTGAATTTTTGCGAACTTGGCACAGCACAGATCATTGGTTTGGGGAAATCGACGCAACCCATTTACTAGGAACCATGTTTACTACTAGGGGCTCCTGGCATCGCTACGAACGGAGCAAGGACGCTACTAGGGGCTCCTGACCTTACTACTAGGAGCAAGAAGCTACTAGTAACAAAACTGACAGCATGATAGGTTGTGATAGGTTGCGGTGCCTGTCGAACATCTGAAGCATGTGTCGACGTAGAGAAAACATGAGAAAACAGAAAAAAAAAAACGTGCCGGTGTGTTTCTTCATTCTGGAAAGTCGATGAAGAAGCTCTTCACATGTTACCATATGTCCTGGGCTAGAAGTTTTGGAGTCGAGGTCCTGGATTAGAGGATGAGAGGGAAAAAACACGTGCACACGGTGTCTGTTCTGGATCGAACATCCCACTGGCGGCTCAAAAGCAGTCCCCAAATCATGGTACCTTCACATCTGCCAGTGTAAGAATTCAGAACACTCTCAGGAACTTCATTTTTGTTGATAGCCATGGAACCACTGACGCGTCACGCTTGAGACGTGTCTGTCTTTGGGTAGAAACCTTCGGCACCCAGCGTGGTTTGGTCCAAATCCGACTTTTTGCGGGCCACCAAAGCCACTGCCACTGACGTTGGGGTTTTGACTGCGACCCTCCCACCCGTTAAAGCTCCCTCGCACCAAGGCACCTTTGGTGGAGCACCAGTGGTCACTGAAGCCTGAGAGGCGACACTTAGGAGCTTCGAGTGCATTGACCAAAAGATCCAACGAATATGCAGCAATTGAATGTATAGTATAATTTTGTATATAGTCAAACGTCTCAAAAACTCACAGAATCTCAGAAACATCACAAAAAACATCAACAAACAATCCATTTGCAACTCCAAAATAGCCGCCTAAATGTTCCATTTTCATTTGATGTTCATTTTCTTGAAACCTACTAGTAGTTTCTTGTTAGTACTGGTACTAGTAGCTTGCTGCTACTAGCGATGCCCTTTGTTAAAAGTAGCTTCTTGTTACATATCACCGAAATTTCAGCCCCCAAAAATCCACCGGTCAACTTTGCCTGGATGGGCACCTCCCAGATCGACGGCGCCGGCTCCGCGCGCGTGGCGCAGTCCGCCAGGAGCCTCGTTCGGCGCCCCATGTGAAGACACACATGTATAGTATCTGCATGTATGAAAATGATTCGTGTGTGTGCGCGTTTTTGGTTGATCCATCTTGCGTTCGTTGCAAGTTTAAAAGTATTTCTCTGAGCAGAAGGAACATCCTGTAACTTTCCCTAGTGACGACATGTGCGAGGTGTGGAGTACAACAAGGGATCTTTTCTGAAACTTTTTTGTTATTTTTTCAGAAACGCCTCGTCATCTGAAGTGGGGGGTAGAAGCACTTCCTCCGCATCAAGATGGGAAGCGTCCTGCCTCTTGCTTTTGGACAGATTTGAAACCACCTAGCCACCATTGGGTCGGTGCACACGGCGCCAGGACCAAAGGGTCGAACGGTGGTGGCCGAGCCGAGCCGAACAATGCTTGGTTGGTGGCTCTGACATGGCCTGAAGATGTCTGAAATTGTTGAACAAGTTGAACGACCATCTCAGCAAGATGGGTCTGGCGGATGGCGAGGACAAAAAAATCACCGAGGGAAGTCAGTTCAAACTTTTGTGGAGTCATCGGGTCGCGCGAATAAATGACCTGCTGTAGATTGACTGTGAACATGTCCGGCAAGTTGGATGATTGAGTGAGTCAACTTGAACCTCATGCCGCATGCCAGTCAATAATCAGCAATGGCAACGAACGATCAACTGTTCGTTTTCCACCACTTGTAGCCTACACGTTGGTTGAGATGAATTGGGTGTACTCAGGTTGGCTCAGATAGGAAGGTGAATCTCCTATCATTTGCCTAATGTCGGAGACCATTTAATCCTGCAGCAACCTGCGACATGCAATCACCGCCTATTTATGTTAATTTAGACTGGGAGGGTGCTGGTGTTTGAAAACAAGTAAGGGCAAGGGAATATAAAGTCCAGTTGTTTTGTCCATTCGCGCCCCCTCTTATCCACCCCACTGCACCACCACATGCCCAGTCACCACTGGCCACAAGGAGCCTTCGGTGAGGACGACGCGTGATGCTCGTAGAGCCAGCGACTGGTGTCATCCTCCACCTGAAGCCGCCGGAGCACTGCTGGTTGTATGAACGGTCAACGGATCTATACAGATTTGAATATATATTTGGTATATTTGACTGGTCAATTGTGATGAGGTTTGGTCTGGTTTGGGGATCACTGCTTGTTGCACCCTGACTGTCAGCTAGCTCACAGAATTCCAGCCACACATGACCAGGACCATCGGCTATTCTGGATCTTTGACTTGAGCCAAACCCGATGACTTTGCTCTCACGGACTGCTTTGCGCAGTGGATGTTAACACCGGCTCTTTGGTTCATAACGAATCTCGCTGCACAGGAAAAACAGTGACATGATCAATCCGCCGGACCCGGTCTGGGACGATGAACACGTGAGCATGAGCGGAGCGGGGCCGGCGTGTTCCTGAGAGGGACTCCGGTAAGCGCTGGGCGATGTCGGCCTGCCGTTACATGCCAACACATTGACAATTGTGTATATAACTAATGACATTCTTAGTTCCTCGCTGGCTGACCATCGAGATTTTGTGTCCGGGACGGGATTTGGCCTGGGTTTCGACCCCCTTTGGAATTCAAGCGTGGGGGCCATTCTGTGGTGCGGCCGCGTGCCCCAAAGAAGACCAAACATGGTTGGCTGGGGTGCATTCTGAACCGGTGGTGTTCTTCGGTGTGTCGCGAGTTCGGCTAAGTCCGATAATGACGAGTGTGTCCGGTGCGACGAGTGTGCCAGTCCCATGGAATGTCGTGTCTGGGAGATGGTTTTGAGGTTTGTGTGTGTGTCTGTTTGTCTGTCTCTAAGAGGCTCTATTTGGTGTGTCTTGCCTCCATCTTCGCGTCTGCTGATGCTGGCTCTACCCTTTGCGACCATTTCAAAGCATGTCGACTCAAACCCCCCCAGCAGGTGAGAGCTCGGAATCCTCGGGCCCTTTCCCAACGATAGCAGCTATCGGGCATCACAAGAAGCTACTAGTTCTTCACAAGAAGAAACTATACCAGGGCCCTCCAAGGGGTGTCCAATAATGGACTACCCCACGCTACCTATAGGCTTCCATTGGGCACCCCTTTGTGACTCCTGGTATATATCATTTCTCAGGAGTCCGGACTGCGATGATTGTGCGGTGCCGACCCCCGGAACACGTGGCGGTCTGGTAGCCCAAAAGGTCTGAATTTTCAGCATGCGCCAGCCCCCGTTCACCAACAGCCGCCCAGATACATTGATCTTCCATCCATCTTGGAAGTAGATGATCGACTCACCATTCTCTTGCTGATACTTCGGCATCTCGTTGTACCTCATGCGCAAAACTGGCGCCTTGCTCACATGCGGGCAGGAATGGAGGTGATACCCGTGGATCTTGTCAAGACCAGCAGGACAAGTGACCCTGACAAGTTGACTTCTCACTTTCATCTTGTTGGAGGGCGTCCACCCTCCTGCACGCGTAGACTTCCGGAGATTGGGGTTAGACTCGGGTCTCTTGTTGGTCGGGGAAGCGTATGGCGACCTAAGCCATGGGGTGCAGGGCATCCTTTTAAGGAATTCTCACATGAAAAGAACCTCTTAGACTGCTGGACTGGCTCACCAGTCAGAGCATTTTCCAAAGCCAAGAATCACCTGTGGTGAAACCACCTCTGGTTATGAGTGCCACTCAGAATCTCAACCTCTTATCCCTTGCCCCGAATACTATGAACCCGCATGGAGACGTCGGTCACTTCCAGGGTCTCCAGGTTCAAAAAAACTCGCTGCTCAGATCTGCATTGGTGGCATGTCTTGTGACCCCAAAAGCGAGGACATGTGAACATCTTGGCATCCAAAAAAACGAGTTCCCACCACACCTGTTGGAGGTCTCTAGTCATCCTAAAGGGTCATGGTATAACATTTGGCCCTTGCAAACGCCTCAACGAGTCGGTCCTATCCCAGGGCCACATCAAGGCACAAGGCATCCAAGGCCAAGGCACACGCCCACTTGCTGAAACTGTCCATTTACAGTGACGCCAATTCCGCCAGCCCAAGCAACTTCCATCTTGGGCTTTTGAACCACCTCATCTGCGAGTCGAGCAAAACAAACCCTCCACAAGAAATCCCGAGAGAAATCAGTCTCTCCCACATCCACATCCACTCTAAACTGCCCCATGGTGGCCTTAGATCGCTTGGCCCCCCAAAAAAATCGCCGGGTTTCTTCTCCAACTCTCGCTCCGTCAGGTCCGTCAGGTCCATTACATGCAAGAATGAATCAAAGGAAGTAGAAGAGACGATCTCATCTATTTCACTCCCAGACACGACGGTCCATGGGACTGCCATGTATGCTGCCCCATTGACTAATAAAACACCTCCCCGCCAAACCTCGGCATATGGATTGTCTGGGACTAGTTCGAAAAGGATTCTTCGCTACACTGAAATTTGCTGCCCAGGTCACAAGGAGGTTGTACTTCCCATCTGCGCCAACCCGCCCAAGGCTCTCCTGGCATGCTTGAGGCTAGATTTGCGCTGTTGCAGGACGGGAGCCTGCTTTCTGTCCCAAACTCCCTTGAAGAAAAAAAACAAGTGAAGAAACTGTGATATGCAGCCGTGCCAACTGCATTGTTGTATTCTGGTGTGAGATGACGCAAAATGGCGCTCCCACCTCTTTTTGGAGAATCTTTCTCCCCAAAACCCTCACAACCCAGAGTTGAGACCCTCTTTGACTCGTTGATCACTGATGTCTTTGGACCCAGCCCTTTAGGGTGTCAGGGCCATGGCAGCCACACCAGTCTGTCCAGGACTCGCCATTCCAAAAACCAACTGAAAAGGAACACCTTCGCCGTTCGTGCCTTAGTTCGAGGGTGGGGGATTCGACCCTTGCCGTTCGAATCTGACATGGTCAACCTACCAGGGCAAAGGCTTTTGAGGGGGGGCTCTGGGTTTCTCAAAACCCACCATGTTTGTTCCAACATGTTCCAACTCATCACAGATCCCACTCACTCACTCACTCACTCACTCTCTCTCTCTCTCTTTCTTTCTCTCTCTCTCCCCCTCCATCCCGGTCTCCTCTCCATTCTCGTAGCAGACTTTGAGGAAGCCCAACTGCTCTGAAACCTCGGTGAGGCCGAAGCCCTTCTCCGGCTCCTGCCACCCGTTGGGCCGGTGCACACCGTCGGTGGGAGCTTCGGCCCACTGATCCGCAGTGATCCGCAGTGATTCTGAAGAAATTAGAGACGAATCCGGATGTGACCAACGGTTATTTTTTCAGATTCTTCAGAGGCTGCTCAGTCAAAAGAAAACAGCGTTTCATGGGCTTCCCCACGACTTCTTTGGGGTCTCCCCCCCCGGCGACGTTCGGCGAAGGTCGGAAGGCGCTGTCCAGTCGTCGACGTCGACGTCCGCAGATGTGGGCGTTTTCTCGGTGAAAGGCGCCGTGGAAGAGACGTGTGGCGACGCCACTGGTGACACACGAAAACGCCACTAAAACCAACCCATTCCTCGTTTTCGACACATGAACAGGTGAACAGTTAACATATTACAACCCATATATTACCAGTCATGCAGTCATGTCCATCTCCAAAAACCACCAAAAACCCATGTCCACCCTTGAAAAAAGATACCATGTCCCAAAGCTGGACCCCACCACAAAATCTTCCCTGCAAGTATTCTGTTCATTTTCGCTGGCCAACCAGGCCAAGGCGTCTGAACACATCGAGAATCAATTCCTTCGCATGATTTCACAATATGGCTGGGCATGGCACTGGGGATCATGGATTTTGCCCACTCATGAACAGACTAGACTACGTGACATGGTCAACCTACAAGGGTTTGGGGTGACTCACATGCCAAACCCTTCACTTTCATATCCTTCACGCCCTCATATCATCGACCACTTCGCTGCACGCTTCGCGGGTCGAGGCAAATCACCCTGCCGTCCTCGAGGTGTTTGACTTTGACTCCCACCTCTGGCCACTTCAACAGCTGCCCAGTGAGCCGCAAGGCGGTCTGGGCGTTAGAGGTGAAGAAAAGGTCCAGTAAGTCCACTGAAAATTGAGGTAGGTCCACATCACTCCACTTTGTCAAGTAGGTGTTTCACTAGTGGACTGCCCCAATTCCTGAGTGGACCACTGGGTGGACCGGACCACCCGTCTCTACAACCCCGCTGTCCCGCTGTCCGTGCAAAAAGCACATCGTTTTTTGGGGGGGCACCACTATGTCTGGCGACTTCGCCTGGAGAGGCTTCGACTTCGAAGTCAAATGATGTCGACTTCGCCACGGTGAGAGGAAAGCGACCAAACCCGAGCCTGTTCTTCAGGTGAGAGGATGGCTGTGGGGTCTTTGACCAGCGTAAACCCTAGGACCCTGGTAGGTTGACCTTGGTAGTCGATTCTGTTCATTTTCTTGGTGATATCTGGGTATGAAGCTTCTTCCAAATTCTCATCTTCAGGTCGTCCGTTCGTCTTCACGTCTAAAAACGTGCCCATCAAGCGGATCCACTGGGTCTCCAAAAAGTGTCGAGCGACACGACCCGATGGGGAACATGCTATAACACGTGCTCATAGAATAGAAGTACGCCAAACGTCGAGGGTCACTTGGGAAAAAAGAACGGCGTGCCCAAAGTACCAAGAAGGATAAGCAATGACAAACTCAAAGGTATGAGCTATGAATGGAGTCCCTCCTATTTTGAGACATATCAACTTGATTCAACTTATTGATCTTTAGGACGGCATGACACGCCTGTGACGGGCTCCTCGGGACCTTCTTGAAGCTCAGCTCTTGGTGCTTCTGGGGCCCTGGAGCAACGAGTTTCAGCATGTCCAGTGGCCCACTCCCACACGTTGCCACATCATGTCACATCCAGTAGTTGTAGTGCCTCTGTAGGGGGTGTGTTTCCAAATCTAATAGCATCTTGCTACTAGTAGCGATGCCAGGAGCTACTAGTAGCTTCTTGTTACTACTAGCGGGGCCAGGAGCTACTAGTAGCATCTTGCTACTATGATCGTTTTGGAGCAGGGTGGTGCGCCTTTCTGTGAAACCGCAGCTTCATTAAGTCATCCCGATATGCACCTGTTGCGCAGCTGATCTGCCTGGGACCATCCACTCAGATCCACTCCCAGACGAAGCTTTCCCCCCCAAGCAGGTCCCAGGTGGGCGAGGGCCGGCGGACTTGCGCCACGGACTTGCGCCTGCCAGAAGATCGCCGGGCGCCTGCTTCGGCTGCATCATGACAGCCAGGTTCACCTTCTCGTCCGCCACCAACAGCTGGCCGGGTGGGAGGTCTTGACATCGGATGTAGGAGGGTGGCTGCAAGATACTGCAAGTAGTTGGAGCAAGGACCATGTTAGTTCCGCCTGCGAGTCTGGGGTGAGACCTCCGTGGTGACCTGGTCAGTCTGGGTGGAGCATGATTTCTGGTCTTCAGTTCTCGGTGGTGGGGCACTCCGAAAGTTGCTCGATTTCGACCTCCCTCGACATACAAAAAACCTCCCTCCGCCTGCGAGGAAGCCATGCTCTGCAGGAAGAACGGCTCGCCCTCACAAACCTCCCCAGCCAAACCGCCGAACTCGGCGAAACAAAGCACCGTGGCGCCATCGGGGTGGACGATGGAAGAAGTGACGAACCGAACGAATTGGACGAACCGAACTTCCTTATTCTAGCTTAGATGATCACCTGATTCAGCCCAAGGCTAGAAATCAATGAAGGCACCCGATTATTCAACTTCTGAATCTGACAAATGCTTCCACCTTTGCACACTTTCCCATCGTCATCGTGCCTCTCGCGCGACTCCACGCGGCTTACTGGACTTCACCACCATGGCGCAGGCCGCTGAGGCGCTGGGGAAATCTGCCTTCACCTGAAACGGACCACGTCCCCAGCGACCTGCCGGATCCTGCCGGTCCGTCCCCATCGACGGGACAGACCCGCCCGACCACGACCACGGCGGCGTTCGCGGTGGTCGGAGAACCCACGACCAAGTCATCGAGATGACGTTTCACCAAGAGAACAGCTCCCCTACATCCGCTGGTAGGGATATATGGGAAGTGTGACTCCTTAAGGCTGCACGACTTTCGGAGAGTCAGCAGGGTTGAGTCTTGAAGGCTATGCTATCATCTCTCCGCTGCCGGACATCCTCAAATCTAATCCACCTCCCCGGTCTCGGAAAAAAAAAAAAAAAAACATACACTATCATACATGATCATACACGTACTTATCATAGCAACCAGAGCCCAAGAAGAAGCTGTGTGACTCTCTGCCTCAACAGTCCAGAAGGCGCCCCGTCTCGTTCCCTCCGCCGTTCCCTCCCAAACCCGTCCGACCACCCGTGGTCTTCGTGCCAAAGAGGCCCAGCGCCGGCCGTGCGCGCTGAGGGACACCGAGCCGCCCTCGGCCTGGACAGGGTCAAAGCTAGAAAAGGCCAGAGGTTTCTGTTTGGAGGCCACTTGGTTGGAGCAAAGTGGCAAGGCTTCGCAAGATCATCTGCGGGCGGATGTGGCCGAACATGTTCACGCGTGAGACTCCAGAAGGTTTAGCATGGTGCCTGTGTCCCGCTGATGCCCAAGAAGCATCCAGTGCAAGCCTTGGCTTGCTGAGCACACACTGGAGATGAGAGATGGGATTGGACCACCCAAGAAAACCCTCAAAAAATGATAACATGGAAGGCCACACTGATCCATGCAGGACTGACACCCTCTCACACTCGGTATGAGGTATGTAACCATATGTAACCACGGGCGTTTGCTCCAGGCAGAATGATCAGTTGAATGGACCAATGACGTATCCGGGATGCCCAAGCTACTCAAGCTTCGACTCGAGGAAGGCTATTTGACCATGCTTCGGTCACCCTGTCTGGCTTACAAGGAAATACCCACAGCATGTGTCCAGCAAGTGTTCAACTGTTGTTTTACCAGACCCGCCTGATGCAAATCAAGCTTCACATCATGTGCTTAGAAATCTTCGACCTGGAAGACCACCCAGTTTGGACCCTTAAAACATAGCAGTCCACCTCCCAGGTTGGCGCAAACTTTGCCCTCCCTCCCTCTCCACGGAAAAAAAGTACAACAAGCTCTCTGAAACACTTCTCTCAGTTTTGTTCAATACTAAAAATACATGTTAAAAGGAAATACCACCACCTCCGAGCCTCATTCGCCACAAGTGCCATCCTTGGATTCCATTGTTGCCCTGAACAAATCACCTCCCATCCATCACGAGGACCTGGCTTCCTTTGGATCTCCCACCACACGCTCGGACAAGTAGCTCTCCACACCCTCACCCCCTAATGGGAGGCCGTAGAGGACCTAGGGTCATGTTGATTCATTGGAAAGAACCATAGCCCCTACTCCATACTCCACGGCTCCTCCACAGCTACTCCACGCATGTTCATCCGTGTCATCCCCTGGTTCCCCGCCTGGTTCCCCGTTTTCACCCATCGGGTCCACCACCCGTTGCCCGCACCGGTACCGGTCCGGGTCCGGTCCAGGGCGTGGTATGGTACCCGAATTGGGATCGGGAGGCCATCAAGCAAATGGCATCGCCATCCTTCACCTTTCGACCTCGAAAGGTCTTCGTGCTCACCTTGGCGGAACGTGTCTACGCACAGAAAAGGAGCTAAGGAGGGCGTAGGGGGGGAACAAACCACGGAAGAGCTTCAGGACCATCTTCACGGATGCTGAGCTGGCGATTTGGCTCATGAGAACTATCACAAAGCTTCAGCGGGGGGTCGTTCAGCTCTCTGCGGTGAAGCTGGGTCCGGCCCGGTCAAAAGACCCACTCAGAGACGTTGAGCGGTCCGGACCGGTTCAACTCTTCCCACCGGAACAGACAGCTGTGGAAGCTAGACCTTGACAGCTGAAACCTCGTAGAAACGTGGTCTGAACAGGTTCCCCCGGCGCCAGTGACCTTTTTCGTGGCTGGAATGGAAGTCCGGAGGTCCATCCTGGAGGTCCACCCAGCAGGACAAGTCTGAAACTTCATGGCCTTCTGCATGCTTCAATGGTTTTTTCCCATTTGAAGCCTCCGGGGTGCTCGCGGCGCTCGCCTCCAACCCCTCACCCGATCCAGAAAAAACATAAAAAAAGGGCGGGTGTTTCAACCGGTGGACACCGGTGGAAACACTCTTCTTCAGACGCGAAGAGGTCGGAAACAGAGGGGAACCATGTAGTACATCTACACGGTCCATCCCATTCCCTGGGCCCAGTTGATGATGATGGTTAGCTTCCAGGCCGACATCTCAAACAGTAATATAGATCATGTAGATTAATATAGTAGTAAGAGTCCAATCAACCGACTGTTGCAGATTTACTGGTACAGGCCGCACATCCATGAATATCCATGATCTCATCCATGTGAGCCCAGCCTCCCGTGTACGGCCTGCCTCCCGTAGCGAAACCCTTCGAAACGGAAAAACCGCACAGCCAGGCCCTTTGGCTCTGCCGGGCCTGACAGGGACAATCGGACAACCCATCCAGGGTCATCGACCAACCTGAGAGTTGCTTCCTCCGAATCAAAATAATGAACTACGATACTCCGAATCCAAATCCAAATGCTCAAAAATCCGAATTCACACCGCGGCGAATGTTTCAATCATCACCGCATCCGTCCTTCGTTCGCTCGCGAAACATGTCGCTCGAGTGGCCAGCTTCCGCTTCTCGGGTGCATGTTGTGCATGGTCCGGCTCCTCCATCGAAGCTGAGAGGGGAGCTGACAGTGGTTTACGTGCATGAGTGCCATTTTCAACATCATATGATTTCATCCAATTCATCCATGAAACCTTGGTTGGTAATGGATGCCCGAAGCAAACAGGCCTATCTTTATGTGAAATGGAATCTCTGGCAGAGCTGAGGCTGAAGCCACCTGTTCCCTGGTTCCACCTGCCCGTGTTCGCTCCCTCGCAGGGGTGTTCAAAGGATTTCAGACCTTTTAAGGAAAGCATTTCGTCGAGTGACGAAGTCATCACCCACTCACTGACACCCGGGCTCCGTCATGGCACCCGACATCTTTGGCTGACTTTTGCACAGAATGGGGATGATCTCAACATATCTCAACGATCTAAGTCTCATCCGTGCACGAAAGACTGTTTGAAGGTGTATCATATTTATGTTGTATGCCATATTTGGATGGCTATGGATGGCTACAGTCAGGGACTCGCAGCTTGGAGATCCATATTTCTCATGGGGGTCTTCCTTGGGTGCCCATGGGTGTCCCTGGTCCTGTGTGAGCCGTCTCTGAACCCTTTTCAGCCGCTTATGCAAACCATCACGAACTGATGAACCGACTTCCAGGGCGCGTGGCGTGTGACCGACTCACCGTTCGCGGTGAGTAGAATGGCGATTCTGTCCAACCCATCCATCCGGATGGATGGATCGCTGCGATTAGTGGATGTGAGGACTCTCGTTTGTCTGGCGTTTTTTTCATTACCTCCTGAGGTTCGGTGGGACTGGGGTGGGTGCCATAGGGGGTCTAACCACCGAACCTGAGGAGATGGGCTAGGAGCCCTAGGGATTATGAACCCCCCCCCCATGGTAAAAAGGGTGTTTCCATTCCAAAGGGATAGTTGGCCTGCCTTCCTTTTCCTTCTTTCCGGAGCGGGTTTTGTGGCGAACTGCGGTGTTTCCACCACCACCGGTCGTCCTTGTGGTCGTTCAAGTACGGGCACACCACGAAGCGTTGACATTCCTGGAAGCCGAGAATATGCTCGCTCTAGAAAGTCACAACATGTCACAGAAAGGCACACGAAAACGAAGGTCTGGGAACGTTCAAGAGGGTTTACTTGGCATATTGCGAAAGGAACTCTACTCTTCGTTCATGGTTTGACTTGATGTTGTGGACTGAAACCCGGGGACGTGCTCACGCCCGTGGTGCGGCTTGGGGTTTTCAAGGACACGCCCGGGTGGTGTGGGTGCCCTGGATTGTGGGACTAAACTGGCCAAGACCTCAACAAGGACACATCTGTGCAAAGTAGCCAACGTCAGGTCAGAATGATTCTGGAACATCTCAAATGCATAAACGTGCATAAACTATTGTCTTCAATGGTTTTGAGGATTCCTTGTCGGATTCCGTTGCTTGAGGAACGGGGGAAAAAACATCTTCCCCGGTGGCCCAAAGGGAAATTCACCCACGTGGAAAATGACCCCAAGCAAAACTAACAAATATATACATGCTATGCGCAAATATATATATATATATTATACCATGCATGTGTGTATGTAAATACTTGATATTTGTATACATCATTGCATCATTCATATCCTTTTTCTTTGGATGACCACCACACTCATCGCCTCTCTCCATTCCTGCCGTCCTGCCCACACCTGGCGTTGGGCGCACTCACCGTCGCACCTTCCACCTCCAACCACCGGCCGTTGCCCCGCAGATACCTCACAGCTGGTGGACACATGATTGGACATGAACTTCGGATTAGTCGAGAGCACTGCCTTCTTTGCGCTAGAAAAACCAAGAGAGGTTAAGTGACCGTAAATAGGACCTTGCTGGGGTACCGAACTGGGATAGGCGAACTAGTTCGGGTCCTGACCCACCTCTGTATCTTTAGAGAGAGCGCACAGCCTGAAAGATGTGATCTCGCAAAGCGTTGTTCACGCAGTGAGGAGAGCGAGCGAGCGAGCGTGTTTGGGTCTATTTTTTTTGGCTGCATGGCAATTGAGTGGGGAACCTGTGAGTAGTCCTGCTGGGGCTGTTTTCGACATGGAGCCGTTGCCCATGGAAATCTGCAGACACTAGTGCATCGCTCACTAGCCATGGACTAGCCATGAAAGAAACCAGGTTAAAGATGTTCAATTCACAGGGATCTCGGAAACGCTTCCAGCCAGGTAAAGACATCCTTTTGGCTGGTTTTATTTGATATTGTTTGATGCCTTGAAAAGTGTCTGAACTGGAGATAAAAGCAAACTAATTGTCCGTCACAAACTGATCGCTTGATGCATTGACCAAAACTGACCAAAAAAGTAGCTGTGCAGAACTTTCCAGCTTGGTTCCAGCAAAAAAAACACATGTTATTTGTTGTTCAATTCTCGACATCTCAGTTGAGGCTTTAACTCCAAGGGACACCACATCACCCAGGCGAATCGGCTCAGGGGCCGGCGGCAAGGGGAACTCGACCATCTCCTGTGGAGGTCTTTGGGAGGTTTTGTTCGACCTACCTACCCGAGAACATATGGACCGTGGAGTAAAAATTGGTTGACAAAGGGCTGATATGGACTGATAGACGAACAATGACACAAATTCATGAATATGCGGATAGCAGTATGATAACCAATTCCTAGTGTGCATAATTAGTTCCTGGTTTTGGATGTTTAAAAAAATTGTTTGGGTGCGAAAAGGTTGGAAACTGCGTCAAATGTCACAGAGTAGATGCCGCCCGTGGAAACCAAATCAGGGAAATATTCGATGTGTCCCAAAACCGTTCCACAAAACTGATGGAAGATGCTAGTGGGACCTGTTTGACTGCTGGTGTGACTGTCACTGTGGCTGAGGCACACGATTGTGCACATCTCTTCACCATTAGCAGCTACTCGGTTCCATTGCATGATGCTGTGTGGTTGAATCTGCCGACCGAAACTCAGTGAGCAGGCACACAAACGACCGGTGAGTGACGAGTGGCATAAAGGCAATGAAGATCTGCCACCAAAACATTGTATCTGGAAGCCACATGAACTGCGGCCAAAAATAGCCTTTGTCACTGGTTTCTCAAAAGGGCAGGGGCAGGATTGATTAAGTTTCCACAAAGAATCGCCAAAAAAAAATTGTCCACTACTGTACCTCAGACTCAGAACCTCAGGACCAACCTCCACAGCAACTGGGGTTTGTTTCCCACGCTCCTTCTTCCGCTTCAGTGGTCCACTCTGGGAGCGCGCCAAGGGAGCTTCTCCTGTCACAACCTGGTAGATCAGTCGAGAACGGTGGATTGAAAATGCACCAACACCTCCGACCTGAGCATCAACAACATGCTTTTTCCATATTTCCCCACCTGCCAAATAAGGGTTGTTAGCTTTTTGTCAGAGCCTGCCCCGCCGGTCCTCCTCCTTCTCCTCATCCTCCTCCGCGCCCTCCTCAACCGCAAGCGCTAGATCGCAGTGGGCACGGCCCTCAACCGTGAGCGCTTGATCACAGTGGGCACCGCCGGGCCTCAACCACGAATGCCAGCAGCCCCCCTAGAGCGGAGGCGGAGATCTCCAGCTCGTTGTGGGCACAGCCGGAACGTGTCAGAAAGTGCGCCAGATAGTGCCAGAGTATGTGCCGGGTAGAGTCCCAGAATACATGCCAGAATGTGTGCTAGATAGAGTGCCAGAAAATATCCCACATAGAATGCAAGAATATATGCCAGATAGAATGTCGGAAAATATGCCAGATAGAATGCAAGAATATAAGACACAGAATGCCAGAATATTTGCCAGATAGAACGCCTGAAGATATGCCAGATAGAATGCCAGAACGTATGCTAGATAGAATGCCAGAGAATATCCTAGATAGAATGCCAGAGTATAATGCCATGGTGGGGATCACTCGAAGTAAAGTAATCTATTCATTCTCGAAAATATGAATTCAGCACCTGTGGTAAAGACCTGGGCATCAACGACACATCAAAAAAAACACACACACAGTTCAACTGGTGGACCGTCCATCCAACCAAGGACCTGCCTACAGTCTGAGCAAGGCCCAAAATTCAGAACACTCAAATCCTGTGGAGCCCTGGAACAGTTCAACTAAGGTCCTCTGAAATAGAATCCGCTGGTCGGGTCACAGCGGGAAAGATTTGCGTCATGTTCATGGTTCAACCGACCAAACAAAACATGTTTGGTTTCGCTTTTGGAACAAGACCAAGGATCATGTTCCATCGCCTCTCTAGTAGCCTACCTCGGACTAACTATTCACTGCATGGAAGAATCATACAGCAAACAGAATACTCCCCCTAACCAACGTTGTCAGGAACTGGTGGAGGTTGAGGAACTCAATAAGGAATATCGTGGGTAGGGCTATATTGAAGCACCTTACATGCTTGGTTGGAGTGTACAATCAAATCAGCAGGCTAGGGGGAAGCTGCAAACAATGATTGTATAAATATGCTTTACTTCCTGCAACTCTCTGCTATCTTCTCGAGTCGCCAGCCAACTCCGCATGACCCTGCCGACCAATTCTGAGTGAGTGTCCTTCTTCACACTTCCGAAACTGACCTTATCAAATGGAGTTCATCAATGTTGATCAAAGAACATACACGACTCCACCTACTCTTACTCTACCAAGTCACACCTTATGAACATGCGCGACTGAGCTGTTCATTTCCGGCACCGTCATTGCGTCTTCGGTCCGCCTTGGACGACGGCACTGGAGGACTAGCGGTCAGCTCCGTGGCGGTCACCTGCGCGGGTAGGCGCAGCGCGTCTGTCGGTCTCAACGGAATGACAAACAGAAACCTCGGTCCGTGGATGTTTAAGACGGGTAGGAAGAACATGTTGAAGTGGATCAACACAGGTCGGGTTGGATTCAGGTTGGGTAGATGTCTTGCTATTCACAGATATTAATAGTGGATGATGATGGTTCCTGGTCATAGAGGTGTTCTCCTCCCACTGGCGAAATAAAAGAGCAGGAAGACATGGAGGATAAGTTGGTTGATTCCATCCAACGAAAAAATACGATAAGAAAACCGATGAAAACACCGATGAATTGGTGGATCCTGTCCAACAGCACCTGCGGACTTCTTTGCACCCCAACCCTTCTTTGCCCTCCGGGTCACGGAGAAAAAAAACCACTCCGGGACTCGCAAAGGAGGCGTCGTCGCTAGCGGCGGAGGGGTCCTCCCATCCCATCTGGAGCTGTCTGTGGCACGGCCAAACATGGAACCCCAAAACCACGTCGGGTTGGTATTTGGAACATGGTCGAAACATGTCGAAACCACCGGTCAATCCTCAGGTTTGCATGTGAGTTTGCGGGGGTGTACTTATCCTGCACCTTAGAGAAGTGTCTCCTGCTGTCTCCACGTGTTTCGGTCAAAGGGTCTTGGCGTAAACGGAAGGTGGCTGGAAATCGTGCCTATCCTTCAACATAGATTTAGTCTGAAAAATTAACATGGGAACATGCAAGGCATTGAATTGCAAGAAGTTGCCTTCTTTGAGGTTTGTGGTTGTTTTTGAGGGGGGCATGCACTTCAGGTTTGTAGAGTGAATAACCTATCTCTTTGTAGCCCTATCAATTGCGTTCCCTTCTACTGGGGAATTGGTCGACTTGCTGACTTGCTCCATTCTGAAGTCGTTCTTTCCTCATCTTTCCTCACCATTCCACGCGCCATGCTCCCCTAACGACGAACTGCTCACCTGCTCAACATACGTTGAAATGGTTCCTCTTTCCTGGATCCCTTCCATCGCAAGTGTCCGCCCTTCCCTTCCATCCGTCGATTCCGAACGCCCGCCGCTTCGCGCCCCTGACGCGCGCTGGTCGACGCGCGCTGGTCGACGCGCGCTGCCGCCTGCGCCGGCGCTGGCTGCAGCGAGGGCGAGGGCTCGCAGCGCTTCCCGACGGCCGTCGCCCAGCGGCCCAGGGGCGGAAGCGGGGAGGCGGCGTCCAGGTGCTGATAACACCATTGCCTGCGGATGGGAGGTGAATGGAGATGAGAGGATGGAGTTGTTACAGTTGTTACTCCCAAAAGAGGACAAATCAAGCAACAGATGAATCATCTGATAGAAAAAATCCAAAGCCTTCCTTCCAGCAGGACGGGAGGAGAGGTAAACACAAAATATAGTATATATTATGATGACCCCCCCTTCATATATATATATATATTAATATATACGTAGTTTAAATTTGTCAAAACGATGGGAAAGGGTGTTGTCTTGCAGTCCACTTCTATAGGAATAAGGACTTACTACAGGAAGTCGCAGAGTGTTTCCTGAGTGGTTGGACAAACCTTAGACCAAGGTATCCACTTGAAAGAACTTGGCACGTCACCAGGCCATGCGGCCATGCGATTGAATGCGCTGGGCCGGACCCTGCGTAAGCTTCAGAATCCAAAGACTCAGCCATTCGACTGGGCAAATGACCCTGCCCCACTGGCGTGCCTGTCCCTCTGCTACTTACAACGATGCAAGAATGTGGCACGTAATGGCCTGGTATCGTCCTCCACGTTCATCTTCCAGCCGTCATCTTCAAAGAACATGATGGCCTTGGTGTCTCCGACGCCAGCACACACTGCGCCTGCCGCGTTACTTGGTGTCACTCTGAGCTCGCGTGTTACTGGGCTGCTTGCACTCACAAACCATCAAAAGAATACCTCCAGCATATAGTTGGTGTTTCCAGCCCTCTTTGACCCTCTCAACACTTGGCCGTGACTCGGAAAACGATGATCTTGCCAACTGCTCATCTGCCTGGCCGTGTGTTTGACCTCCAAACAAACATAAACAAACCATCAAGTCCCATCCAAACTACACTTTAAAACACGTGGGGTCATCAGCTCGAACTTCCAAATCTTGGCCTTCCCTCTCGCTGGGAAACCCCCCACTTCTGTTCGGCCCAGCGTCCGAGCCAGTGTCCTGTCGGTACTTGGGCATCCCATTGTGACAGCCCACACGCACGTAACGCCCATTGGCACGTTCCCCTGCACGGCCTGTGAGCTGGGAGGCGGAACGTCAGTGGAGTCTAGAGATTCGGATGGTTCAAATGATTTCCAAGGATATGCTATGTGTATTAGTGTATATGTATTCATATACTGTATAAAATGATGATTATATATATATATATGTATGTCGTGACGTCGTGTATATTATATATATATATACATACATACATTCATGTCATTGCTACCTGTGGTACCTATAAGGCACAAACTGCTGCAATTGTCCAGCATAAACATATGGACACCAGGACCAAGACACTTTGTTGAACAGTTGTGGGTTTTGCAACAGTTTTCACGTCAATTAATATCACGTAGTATACAGTAACAAAATTACCGCATGAAATAAAGAAGGATGCACAAGACTGATGCATTAAACACTGAGCGTTCTACCGCCCTTATATTAGAATAGAATCGTTATAAAGGAATGTCTTCCTACGACCCCCAACACAAAATGGTGCGTTTTGTGTAATAAAAGAAGCCTTGCTCTACCATAAGCCGGAGCACACACAGGCACCCCATCCCAATATTAGCCCAATATGATCATAGTAGAGTTTTATCAACCCTTGTCCCAACGTCAGTCATACATACTGCACCCCCTGCAATTGAAATAGAATCTCTTGCAATTGTGGTCTTGTATCATAAAACCAATCCACCCATGCTTTGCCAAAAGATCCAAAAGTCTTCGTTCATAAACGGCCCTGCATCCCAATGCCCGTTTGTCCGCCTGTTTGTCACAAGTTTCAGGAGACATTGTCTAAGATTATGTTCCCCGGGGCAGCCACGCACTCAAAGAAACGAAATAACTGTGTAAAGCAAAAACGGAAAAACAAAAACATAGTAGAACAAAAGAAAAGTAAGAAACACGGCAATCAAGTTGAATTGACCTCCAGCAAGCATGTCCTTCTAAAATCTATGCATGCTTGCTCTTGGTCTGTTGCGTTTTTGGTGTTGTTCAGTGTTTATGTTTCTTGTTATATTATTGCTTTGTTATACGATGTTCTTTACCTTTTTTGTTAAGGGTTGTGCGTTCATTAACTTGTAAAGTTGCTGTTGTTTTGTTTATGCCGCATTTTTTCTGCAAAAACTATTTGAGGTACATAAGTCTAACAAAAAGAAACCAACGTCCTACATTGAAACCCGCATCCTAAATCGAGAACACACGTCTCAAACATAAGCACGAACATTCCTTTTTGGCTGTATTAGAAAATGTTGACATTGTTTAGCCAAGTGCACAAACAACTACTGGGGCTGCCGCCTTGAAAGAATGAGTATTCACGGCAAGACAGCATGTCCTTTTACAGAAAATTAGTTTTTTTAGGGCTGCTCGTTTTGAGTACTCCCTATGGCAGGAGCTGCGCAAGAGACAGTATCAATGAGTTGTCTAAAATGAACTAACTCCTCTAGATAAACGGCGGATGCAAAAACTATAAACACTTGAAAAGGCGGTTGCAGAAGGAGCACGGTTGCCTATGCCAGAACCTTTTGATGATACCCATATATCATATACCCGCGATACCGCCAATCCAAGGAGTCGCAACTGAAAAAGCACGTTGCACGGTTGCACAAAAGATACAACAGAAGACTGCAAACCCAGGAGAGCTTGCCAAAACCTTGCAAAGTACTCAAAATATCAATGTATTTAGGTCCATCTCTGGACCAAACCAATCAACAATATTGAAGAGTACCAAACAACCAATCCGAACCAATCAGGGCTTGCAAAAAACTCGAGAGGATACAAAATTGACCAAAATACCAAAGGCCCATCTAGGAAAACCTTACTCTGGTAGTCTGGCCTGCACCGGTGGCAGTGAACGAGGGCAAGGAGATCACCAGTAAGTCACAGCTCCTCAGCACTAATTGCATCAAGAAGCAAGGGCATTTGAGGCTCAGAGGCGTTCTTGTGCAAAAGGCATGTAGAGTCCTCTTCATACGAGTAGCTACTTTGAACGGACATAGGTTGCAAATGAGGGACAGGGGTCTTTGGACTAGGATTCTTTTGCTTTGTTGCAGAACATGACACCTTGCTGACCTGGTCAACTGTGCACCCTTGGAGAATTGCATGTGCGATCTCAAAATCGGCCCAAGAACTCTAGCAGAACCGTACACCCCGCCATCACATTGAATGATAAGCCTAACCCATACAAGTGTGTGGCCATCTGTACACAAGCTCACATGGTCTCCGAATGGCGCGAAGACGAAAACACAGCCTTATGTCTCAAGTCCTGTGATGAAGTTGTCTCTTAGGGTATTTTTTGTGTTTGTCTCTGCCAACGGTATCTCCGCTGCTCCGCTTCCGCTCCGCTTAAGCCGAGGGGCCCTTGAGCTCCCACGCGGCAGCTTTCCTCCTGACCGTAGTCCCATTTGACCTTCACCCATCCCAAGACCTCGGCCTCCACGGTCATGCCATACTTGGAGGTCTCCTCACGTTCGAACGTCGCCAACCAAAAACCACCAAACCACACCGCCGCAACTTCGGCGGTGAAACCGCGGTGCTGAACACCGCACAGCGCGTGTTCCGCACGCTGGGCACGGGTTCTTTCCGCAGATGCCTTGATCTGATTTGGGATGCTTCAAGAGGAACCATGTCACTGCACTTACCCTGCCCTGCAAGTTTTCTCCCCACTTCAGGACTGTAGTCATGTGAGAGTCATCCACAGGCTTTTCAGACCTGGCTCGGATTCTCCTTGGCATGGCGAACCCGCACACCCACTTCTGGGCTCTTCAAGAGTTCCCCTTCCAACGAAATGCTATCCACCTGTGGTCGAGACCAGCGATACCGGCGGAGACACCGGTCGATGGCTGGCACCAGGGCACCTACGAGTGAAGTAAATAGAGAAACCAAAGAAACAAGATCAGGCGGTGATTCTGGTGTCGCGAAGGAGTTGGAAAGGGTCCAAATTTGGCCATTGTAAAATAAAATATTGTACAGTAATGCAACGATCCGTGGAAGATGGGCTATTGGCTATTGATTGGCTCCCGGCTCGTATCGCCACACGCCTTTAACCAGCAAAGTCGGGCTGTGGAATTATTGAAACCAACGTGCCCCCAGGACCCACAGACCGTATATACAAAGATTAGTTGTCAATGGCCTCCACACGTGGTTCTTGTGAAGAGACTGGAGGATGTGAAGATGGTATGAAATGCCTGTTTCTCCTATTGTAAGGATCGATCTTGGGGGTAGAGGGTGGGGAAGTTGTACGAATTCGTGATATGTTGTGGATTGAGAGTAGATGGCACAGACCCCAATGTCGGTGGTTTATATGGACCCCCTATAGGATATCTTGGGGTCTGTACCATCTGAGACCACTGTAGTCTGAGCCAGGCACGTCGGTTGGATCTTTGAGCCTTTTCAGCCAAAAGAAGATGCCAGGAGGTCGGATGGACCGAAGAGGCATATATAGCGGCCTTTTTGGTCGCCACGCGCGACACGTGTTCGAAGAACATCGTAAAAAAGGTGGTGGAGTAGACTCATCTATATAATATAGATTAATATAATATCTATCCAAATACTATTTTATATTAGATCATTATAATAGCAATGGCCTCCAACCTAATAGCCAATATCGCAAAAAAGGTGGAGTGCTTGCTTCGTTGGAACCCTTTCAATTCGTCCTTGTTCCGGTCCATCCCAGGGCCACACTCACACGCACCATGCACCTTCCACCGCCGGGGCTTTGGCAAGGACTCAATGACCAAGTAGTGCTCTTCTTGGAAACCTCGGTCAGGACTCTGCCGTTTCGACGTCAGGTGTCGAAGTCAGCGACACCACCAAACCCAAACGCCAACTAGAAGCACCCCGACTCACGGTCGTAGCTTCTGAACGTTCTTGGTGCCTGGTCGTCCAGGGCACCGATCCGTCGTAGGTCGCCCGGATTCTGCTTGGCCTCCATGGTAGCAGGGCCCTCATCAAAGCAAAGCACCTGGGCGTGACGCGTGCCACGACCAGTTCCGCAGGTGACTGTAGGAAGCAGTGGTGAGATGGTGTGTAGAGGGTGACGCTTCGGCGTTGACAGTTCTTGTAAGGCTAGCGGCTGACACAAAAAAAGTGGTTCCACTGAACTGCACCTGCCACTTCCCCTTCCCATGGATCTTTAGAATGGTTAAACCAACTCAAGCATTTTCGGGGAGGTCCAGCTCTCCGCTTCATCATGCCGCAGAATGGGACTCACAGCTTCATAATGTGTAGAAAGAAGGCTTGGGTGTGACCTTATCCAAACCAATGTTCTTTGAACATATGGGTCCAGGAAGAGGAGACACTAGATATGGGTGTGTCATGGTGTATCTAAAAATAGGAAGACGCGAGACCGCCCTGGAAGAAGGTCGGTCGGTACATCCACCAAACCCACCGATCGGCGATCGTTCTCACCTCAGGACCACGTCTGCCGATGACCGTCTTGTTACCTTGTTCAGTTCTGTTCGGTTCCGTTCGTGCGGTGCTCGTCCGGGCAGTCCTGAACGGATCCGTCGCATGAACAACATAGTGCATCAAACAGACCACAAGATCCACCGGCGAAATCCATGGTTGTTTCAGGCCAGCATCCGGTTGAAGTAGTTCACAGACTAGCCAGTTTGGCCAAGAGAGCTCCTAAAAGGAAAAAACACCACATCTTTGAGAAGTTTTTATTAATGCGAAAATCTCGCGTTTCCCATCAGCCGGCCCATCCCAGGCGAGCCGCCTGAGCCGATGCTAAACTCTGCAGGACTATGGTTTGGCCCTCCAGGACCTGGCACGTCGCCAAGCGGAACCTCACCACCTGGACATCTGGAACCAACTGCCACAGTGGCGCGTCTTCTTCGGTCATGTTTCATGTGTGGCACTGGGACAATCACATGTGCACTGACTGGTGACCCTTATTAACATCGTTGGTGATCTATAGGAGATGTTTACTTTACAGGTCAGGAACTGACTGGAGCTCATTATCGTTTATCTTGATTTATTTGGAACAAACAGTTCAGGCTGCGTGTTTTCAGAGATCGGATTTTTCAGGGACCATGCCATTCACTTCCGAGCCCCCACTTGTTGCAGTTGCTTCAGAGACCTCTGAAGCAGGGGTTTGTCATCTGAGTAGGCGATGTGCGCGCGTAGGGTGGCTTCATCTCGGACTCTCGAGGCCTAACTCCCTGGTGGTTGTCCAAAACAGGTACTCTCTCCAGCCAAATCCCACTGTGCCCATCTTCGTCCGCTGCTCTGACTCATCAGTCCGGTCACCCCAGCCATCTATCCGGTTTTTCGCACTGTTTCTGGTGGATGGTTGGTGGTTGGATACGGTTTGGCGAACTGCCGGACTAGACCCAATCTCCACTGAAAAGAAAAACACATGCAACAGCCAGCGCACCTGCTTCTGCTGGCTAGTGCTCCGCACCACCAGCGCGCAGGGCGGAGAGATGTCTGGGAAATCGGCCTTCACCTCGGCCACGCACGTTCCAGGACTCAAGCGTACTCCAAACTGCCGAGAACAGTGCACCAGAGATTTCGAGGGTAGGCCCCTTCATCTACACACCTGATTGAAGGGTATAGAGGGGTAAGTGTTTTGTGTGTGTTGTTTTCCCCCCACGGATTCGTCTTTGTGGATGATCCACAGAAACAAACAGGAGGGTTTTGATGGGTTTTTCCATCAGACATCACGAGTGTTGAGCTCACCCCACGGGGGAACTCCTTGCCGAACCTCAGCTGCTGAATCCAACAACACCCCATCGACTCGCTCACGTCAAATACTTCCCGCCGGGCTCGTTTCCGCGCGTGCAGTTGAAGACATTTGTCAAGCCTTCACGTGGTTAATGATGACGAATGTCTGGTGTGTGACTGTGCTTTGCATTGATCTGAAAGGTTTGTTGCAGCATGTAGTACATGAAAACAACTCAAAAATCGTTGCGATTTTGACATCGAAGTGCTACGAGACTGTGGTTTCGTGCGAAAAAAAGGCGCGCTTTTTCATCCTCCAGCATCATCATCACAGTCTGTGGGACAACTTCTGACCCAGCTTCGTCAGAAGATCGTCTTTATTCTGGTGCCCCCCACCCAACCCTCCCTAAACCCCCCCACCCCTCTTCCGCAGCGTGTGCGTGTGTGGCTTCCTAACAAAAATGCACGCAACATGAACATCACTAGCCGCCCACCCAACCCCCCTGTGTTTTGTAGGGTCCTAGGCTCCCTAGGCGTGTCTACGCTGTACGTGTGTGGCACCTGTTGTCCGTAGTTACTTGCACATATATATATATATATATTCTCTTCAGTCAGCTGCCGCTTAATTCATTTGGCTCAAGATTTTGAAGCCCAATACTGCACTCCGTGCCATAGAAAAGTGTGCTCGCCGCCGCTCGCACACTTGACACACAAGAGAGGGTCTTACTTTGTGTTATCGATCAGGTCCTGTGTACTTCACTGCCACTTTGGGGAACTTACCCCTCACCCCCCTCCCCCCTAACCCCCCCGTGTCCCCATCTGCCATATTCCAATGCGTGTGTTTGTGTGTGTTCTTGCCCCCCCAAAGGACTGTATGAAAAATCAGTTTCACTACACGCGCGGTTTTAAGCCCAGTAGCAAATACTTGACCCCAAGCCGGTGCCCATCAAAGAAGATCTGCCAAAAGAATAAGATGTGTATATATAGTAACTTTTCAGGCCCCACCTCAGCAAGCCTCGAAGTAAGCTTAGTTGTGCTTTTCGATGGCTTCGCACCCAAAAGCGTGAGCGCCGAGTGCCATGGCTGGAGCATACTCTGCCTGCCGCACTGCCTGCCGCACTTCCGACGTGAGACGTCCAGTGGACAGAATGACGAGTCGTTGACACACAAGAGCGCACGAACTGGCGCTTCGGCGACTGCCTGAAGTCTCTGCGCGCGGTGAGGCGCCGTGAAGAGCATGTGCTACTGGAGGCGCCGTGTGGTATCTGTTGAATTCCTTCTTGCAGTGCTTCGGCAACTACAAGAATACATGCATGCGGGCCATGAGGGTGCCAGGTCCTTAGGTCCTTGCTTCAAAACCTCGGCAACGACCACACCTGACACCCTTGCAAACCATGCGCTGATCGCGTGTGTGGAGGCGGGCCGGGTTCGCAGGGCCAGCCGGGTTCGTGGCGGCGCTGTGCGATGTTGCGCCGGGCTGTGGCGAAGTGGCGCCGGCCGGGCCGCGCGCCTGCAGGAATACCATTGCACTTTTGGAGGATCAATGGACTACCTACAACTTTCAAGTTCTGCCGGTTTTTGTCAGCAACCCAGGGGTTGGCCTTGTTTTTGCTGCCTGAATTAAGCTGCTTTAAGTTTGAAAGCAGCTGTTTTGTTTTGGTTTGTAAAGCACTCCGTAGCTAAAGAGCTTGGAAGAGCATGCAGCCCGAAGGAGCCCCGTAGCAGTGTGCGTTGGGGGAGTTTAAGCCTCTCGCACTGACTTATGTCCTCGACTTTTGCTTCTTTTAGGGGTGCTGACTTCAAAGGGGTGCATGAGGACAGAATGCAAGGCGCGGAGTCTTGGCCAAGACCCTCCGTGTGGAAATGGAAATGAACAAAATGGACTCCCCCACCTCACCAGGTGGTGGTTAGGCTTTCGAAACAGACCCCTTCAGGGATGCGGGGGGGGGAAACCTGCCCCAGGTCGCCGTCCCCCTCGTCCCAGTTGAGTATACACCAAGTCACACTCCGACGGCCGCTGGCCAGGCTGGACTCCTCCACGTCATCCTTGATGATGGGCCAATGGAACAGCAGAAGAACGAGAAATAGGGTCACGGTCCCTGCAGTTCTGAATCCGCTTGGAAGGGTTAAGTTCCAAAGATGCACGGTCAGTGAATCCGTTTTCACTTAGAAAAACAGGAAAAGGCTGGCTTTTCCGGACCTTCTCTCTTGGGAATGGGGAATGGTCGGGAATGGTTCATCAAGCAGGGTCGCCTCTTGACCCACCGACCTCGCGACAGGGTCGACCATCAAATACTTGCACCAGAAGAGGCATCAGATTTCAGGCATCTACCTTCAATCACCAAATTCATGAAGAAAGGTGTTTTTTACCAGGTGACAAGGAGAGTTTCTCCAAGTGGAGCCCATGTTTTTCAGGCCCGGGCCGCGAAAAGTATCACCGGTTTCACCAACTCTTACCTTCGGCACCTCCAACCCATGGGATCGACTATACAGTGCACACATGTTTTACAAGTATAGATATGTGAGTTACAGTATATGTTACATAGATGTGCAAGTCAGCAAGTAATATGTGTTACAGTCTATGTGGTCAGTAACTATGGTCTTACACACATATGTTAGTTAGTGACTATTTATATATATGTTTAATATAGTTCCCATCCGTGGCGAGCTCTCTCTCTCTCTCTATGCGGGGTGTTGAATCACTGACAGACTGGGTCTCTTCCGCTTCCACGTCCATGGGTTCCACCCTTCCGAACACGTGGCCGGCTGCCGCCGGCGCTGCCGGCTCGGGACGAACACGAAAACGAGAGCGAAAGCATGGAACCCAATGGAAGACGAGGATGATTTGGCAGTGGTTTGGCTTGACTTCCCCCTTCCGAACAGCAGAGATTGACCCAAATGCTTTGGCTTGAAACCAGCACACGCACTTTGGCTTTGCTTGCGAAGTCGTTCTTTATTGGTGAATCAAGAAGTTTTACCCAGCCCGAAAACAGACCCAAAGTATCCATCCCTGCGGTGGTCAGCCCCACCTCACTGGTGATGCCTACGAAGCAGCCATTGCAGGCCTTGGTGCACCACAAAAGCGCACGCGGAGAAAGCGCACAAAACGCTGAGACAGCACCTAGTAGGAAGTGAAAGTAAATGAAAAGCTAGTGGGGAATCCCGATATACAGTGCTTGTAATTGCACAAGAAGACGCACATCAAGCCCAAGCCTCAGGGTAAAGCAACCATCCACTGTAATTCATTATTCATGAGTCATGAGCTCAAAAGTCTGGATCTCATGTGCGGATGAAAGAAGGTTTCTGGTGGAAGGCTACATATGGGTACATAACTGGGTACATGTGTACATATGTATCCCTAGACCGTCGCAAAGCACCAGTCGGCTGACCACTCCATTCCACACCGAGTCCTCCGAGTCACCAGTAGGCAGACGGCATCCCCGTCGCGTACAGCCATGCCTTTAAAGGTCGCCGTATTCACCTTGGGCGAGGGCGGGGCCTCTCTTCTTCGTGGTCAATGTCGCCATGAGGTCCTTGAGAGTGCATGATCTTCCAAACATTTTGCTTGAACTTTGGGACTGGGACACGTGCAATCATTTGCAAGATGCTGAATCAAGTGGAGGCAAAACAAACGTTCTTTTTCGAAGCCATGGTGGCCCATGGCGGCCCACGGTTCAGCTTTACTTTCCTCTCTCACGCCAAGTTGGTTTCAGAGCAAGCGAGCTTTGGAAGGATGAATGATTGACACGTGCTCTGATCAACTGCAAGGACAGGAGGCCGTTATACAAAAATGAATCGAACATACCTAGAGCCATAGGACTATATCTGATCATATAGGCTAGATCGTTCCATCTGGCCATCGCCCACAGCTCCAGTCCTAAGAACCCCTAGGAGTGGATGCTACTAGGGGCTCCTGGCCGTACTACTGGGAGCATGGACGCTACTAGGGGCTCCTGGCCGTACTACTAGGAACAAGAAGCTACTAGGGGCTCCTAGCCGTACTACTATAGGAACAAGAAGCTACTAGTAACAAGAATCCAAAGCTCCCAAGATCGTCGGGGAAAGAATCCCAGCCCTGACCCCGACCGCCCCGACCGCCCCGACCGCTCTGCCCTTCGTCCTTTTCTAAGTGGTGTACGGCAAGAGTTGAAGCGAAGGAAAAAGGCATGTCAAAAGATGTCAAAAGCAACTTCTCCAAAAGACTCCCTTGGACACTGGTTCGACTGATTCAAACACTGGTCGACTGACTGGAGGGGGGGGATGGTCTCTTCCGGCGATGCTGATCAAGAGTCGAAAACGCAATCACAATGACCAGGCAAGGTGTTTCCTAAAATACCATCCCTGCGGTTCGCGAAGTATGTATATAGATCGACCATGCCACATGACCAGCATAAAGAAAGGAGCACTGGTGAAAACACCCGTAAACCTCTCGTAGCTTAAGGCCTTGAAGCGTGACCACTTCGGTGCAGCTCCAGCCACGTTCTTCCTCATGGGAAAACTCTCATCGGCTGAGCCGGGTGGCACCTGTAGCCGGCGAGTGAGTGCACCACCGCGCGGGCGATTGGTAGCACGTCGCGTCTCTAATCCGTTCGATTCCATTCTAGTGGAACGTTGAACTCGGCAGTGGAAGAGTGAACATTTGGTCCTCGTGAACTCGGGGCACCGGACCGAGGGGCGCGTGCTTTCTGCGAGGGACGGTTCTGGACCGACCACCGCCCCAACCGGGAGTTCGGTCCGAGCCGAGCACCTCGCAAACAAGTGAGGCGAAACTGAAACGAGGTGCTCGGGAACGCCAAAAGGGCACCGCGGTGTCCACCACCAGCGGAAACAGAAGCATGCCCGTTCCCTCAGAAGGATGGCCACCAAATTCCGGAACGAGACGGCTGAAAAACATATCACATCATGATCTGCTCAAACCTGAGTAGGATATGCATGTCCTATTTCATCCTATTTCTTCTAATTATAACTTGTTCTTTTTTTCGTACGCTGCCAGCCCACTTTTGCTTGAGGCCTTTGCTTTTGCAAGCTTTCACAGACACGCGACCGGACGCGAAACCTGCCTGGAAGTTCAAGTAGGGGCACACCACAAAGCGCTGCTGCTGGAGATTCGATCGGCTTCGCCCCACAACCGCCTCATCGGAGGCGTCCAGGTACCGGTCACCACGGCGGATCAGCCTGGGTCGTCAACGAAGTGATGGAGGGAACATGAGGGAACCGGGGAAGTCAAGGATTGAGTTGGGTAAGAAGACCAAACACAAACCCAGACCATGTATCGTAATATGGAACATGAATGGGTAAATGTGTGGAACATGATGCAACTATTCTACCTTCACCAAGCCTCAAGAGTTCTGCAAGCTTTCAGGGCGACTGTGGAGAGGTTCTTCTCTGGCACATCAGCGGATGATTCCTGGCACCTTTGTTTTAACTCGGTCGGACCCAACGGAGAGAAAGACTAAACCTCACTCACGCTTCGATGTGGAACCTCCAAAAGTTGACCTGGACAGGTGTTTTAAAATAGCAATGGCCTCCCACCCAATTGCAATGGCTTCCCACCCAATAGCAATGGCCTCCAACCTAATAGCGATGGCCACCAACCTAATAGCAATGGCCTCAAACTAATGGCGATGGCCTCCAACCTAACAGCAACGGCCTCCGAGGCCTCCAACCTAATAGCAACGGCCTCCAACCTAATGGCGATGGCCTCCAACCTAATAGCAATGGCCTCCAACCTAATGGCGATGGCCTCCAACCTAATAGCAATCTAACCTAATTGCGGTGGTCTCCAACCTAATAGCAATGGCCTCCTAATGGCGATGGCCTCCAACCTAATAGCAAT